TTTCCAACCTTTGCATTCCAATAACTAGTAATTATCAATACATCTTGCTTGCATGTTTGATCAGTTTCAGATAGAAAAAGTTGGTAGAATTCTTCAATTTCATCATCACTGGCTTTAGCGGTTGGTGCATAAATTTGAATAATAGTTGTATTAACTGGTCTTGTTTCAGTCCTATGGATATTACTTCAAGACAGATCTTGATATTTCTTTTGGATGATGAATGTAACACCACCACTCAATTTGTCATTTCTGACATAGTAAACAATGTGATTGTCAAATTCGAAATGGCAAATACCTGTCCATTTCAGCTCATTAATGCATAGGATATCAGTATTTATGCATGCTATTTCATTTTTTACAACTTCCAATTTTCTTAGATTCATACTTCTTTCATTCCATTTTCTGATTATTGATGTTTACAGCTGTTTCTCTTCATTTTGAGGTTATGTCCCATCAGCAAATTAAAGTCCCGAAGACTTTACTCCATTTGCATCATCAAGGTCCACTCTACTTTGAAGAGACATCCCAATCACATTTTGAGTACGTTCAACCCAGAGGGGCTCCTCTTCTGGCATATATATCTGACAATACTTTTCTGTTCTTTGTCATGTTTCAATATTCAGTATTCTGGTACTGAGAGTGTTTCACTGTTACCCATAAGTTTTCAGTAATAAATATTGAGGTCTCTCAATCTTCCTAGTTTCTCTGCATCTGGAAACTCAGCTGAAACCTGTCCACTGGGGGTAACCCTGCTGATATTTAAAATACCCATGGTATAGCTTCCAGAGTTGTAGCAACATGCAAACCACCAATGCATGATACACTGACAGACAAATGGTAGGTGCAGCACTGTAAAATAGTCACATTTTCTGTAAATGTGTGAAACAACTTAGTCTTCTATGCAACTCGTGACCTATTGCTTCCAATTTTGACCAACATTTTTTATTGTCCATCCTCTTAAATTTTATCTGAGTAGTTCCTATAAAATGTTGTATCATTGGTATTTTATTTTTCAATTATTTTACTTTTCCTTGATTACCATATTTTCATTTGCTGTGTCCTGAATCATCTTTGGCAGCCCTCTCTTCTTTTTTGGGTTATTTTTATTTTTCTTAGTAATGTATAGAATACTATGATATGTTCTGTATATTAACATATCACAATGCTATAGGAATAGCAAACATCTTCTCCTAAAATGTGCCCTTTTTCTCTAGAACACATAGTCAGGAAGGGCAGAGCTCAACTTCATAACTACATAAGGAGACCTTTCATTCACTGAAATCTCACCTCATTCCATTGTATTGTTCTATTTAGGTTATGAGTGTTCATTCTTTGTAAATAAAATAGCTTCATTCATTTGTGAAATAAAAGATGTCACAGGAAGAAGCAGGATAGCTATTGTTGCAGAGAGGAGATTGTAATCACTGAGATGAAACAACAAAGTGTATAATTTGATAAATGTAAAATTGACAATCTTGTCTGTAACCCTTTATTCAAGTCACAATTAAAAAAAGTAAAAAAAAATTTAAAATAAAATAATCTGGAGAAGGAAAGAGACAGTAAAGATTTCCAGTAAGTCGAGAACCTTTGAAGCTCAGAGCTGAGAAGCCAGTCATTATCCTTCATTATACTAGTCTCTCTATTCTTTATGTTTGATGTTTTCCATCATATGTAGTTATCTTTTTTTTTTTTCACTTCACTTTTTTTTTTTTCACTTCATCTTTTTTTTTTTTTCATTAAATAAAGCAATAACCACTCAAAAAGTTCTTCTTTATAGATGATCAGAAATATAGGATCATATATAGGACTATCGCGGGGAGGGGAAATCAAAGTTTTTAGCTCTATAGTATAGAAAAAGTCATCATAGTTATACTGAAAAAAAACAGAAGAGGCAATATACCAGTGCAGCTTATGACAAGTACCAATGCTGTGACTTTAAGCATTTCCTTAACTGTTTAAAGCTTATAAATGGCAATAAAAATATCTTACTTTTCTGCCTTTGTCAAGAAGAGAAGTTACTATTCAAGATATAGTCAACCAACCTTCAAGGAATTGGAATCTAAGATTTACACATACTGGAGGACTTATGTGTCAGTGCCTGTGATGTTAGTGACAGCAAACCGTGTGTTTCTGGCCAGCAGGTTTCCTCTTCCCATGTAATTTCCAGCTCCATCTCAGGGAGTCTCCATATGTCTCCTTGTGATTTTCAGTTTTTGAATCTCATTTGAGGGGTTTCCTCCTTTTTTTTCTTAAAGAATGGCTCTAAAAGGAAGCTGGAGTTGCTGAAACTCTGACTAGAGAAGACAGTGAAGATGAGGATGCTGGGTTTCTCAAAGCCCAAAGTTGTAACAACAGCATTGAATTATGGGTGGTAAGCATAGAAAAGAAGACAGCAGCTAACCATTTAAAATATTTCCTTGATAATTCTATTCTTTGATTTGTAGACAAACTGAAGTTCTGAAGGAAGACCAAAGCTCTAGATGTTCCAATTTTAGCTGTGAGAGAAGGCGAACATGAGAGTTCTTTTCATGAGTTGGGAGAGGAACCAGAGGTGATCTCTGAGTCTTTATTAGAGAGACCTAAGATGCTAGTCATTCTAATAGAACAAAGGGGTCACTGAGTGAGTTAAGATAATAAAAGGTGTGTGCCAGGATTGTATTCTTTCACCATACTTATTCAATATGTACACTGAGCAAATGATTTGAGAAATTAGGTTATATGAAGAAGAACATGGCGTCAGGATTGAAAGAAGATTCATTAACAACCTATGATATGCAGATGATACAACCTCGCTTGTGAAAGCGAAAAGCGCTCAACATACCTACTGATGAAGATCAAAATCCCCAACGTTCAGAATGGGTTGCACCACAACATAAAGAAAACAAAAATCCTCACCATCAGGCCAATAAATAATATCATGATAAATAGAGAAAAGATTTAAGTTATCAAAGACCTCAGTTTTCTTGGATCCACTATCAATACTCATGGAAGCAGCAGTCAAGAAATCAAATGACACATTGCATTAGGCAATATACTGCACAAAACCTCTTTAAAATGTTAAACAGCAAAGATATCTGTTTGAGGACTAAGATGTGTCTAAGCAAACCATGTTTTTTTTCAGTAGCCTCATATGCATGTGAGAGTTGGACATTGAATAAGGAAGAACATAAAAGAATTGATGCACTTTAGTTATGGCATTGGAGAAGAATGTTAAAAGTACCATAGATTGTGATTAGAGCAAACAAATCTGTGTTGGAAAAAGTACAGTCAGAATATTCCTTCCAAGTCAGAACAGTGAAACTTCTCTTTTGCTGTTGTTAACTGCCTTCAAGTCAGTTTCAACTCATAGCAACCCTGTGTAGAGGGTTTCTGAGGAGCAACTGGTAGGCTTGAACTGCTGACCTTGTGGTTTAAAGTTCAGTGCTGATCTTACAGCACCACACCTGAAGTCATAGTTATTTTGGCTACTAACAAAAAGGTTCGTGGTTCAAATACACCAATCACTCCATGAAAAAAAAAAAAAATGTGGTAGTCTGACTCTGTAACATTTATAGGCATTGAAAGCTTACAGGGTAGTTATAGCCTATCCTCCAGAGTCAGTCTCTGAGTCAGAATCAACTCATTGTCTGTGGGTTTATAGGTTCTGACAGAGCCATAATGTCATCTATTTCCAATAACTTCAGTACCTTCTTTGAAGAATGCTGCACAGTTCAATTTACATATTAAAACAGCAGTTTTGGCAATACCGCAGGGGGGGGGGGGAGATGGGGAATGTGTTCTTTGAGTTTTGAAATTAAAAAAAAAAAAAGTCTGAAATGTCCAGATCAAGGATGTAGGGTAGATTGAGCAAGGTAAGGTTTCCCAATAATACAGGTGTAGGACAGTCCTTGCTACCTTTTAAGATTGAAGATGAGTACTGTAGTGATTGAGTAAAAAAAATCTAAGTATTTTTCCTGATCTTTTTCTCTCAAATGCAGTTTTCAATTTTATTAAAACTTTTTATTATAAGTCTGTGTGATTATACCGTATCTTTCCAGAACATCTATTTAGATAATCCCTTTGGAATCTGAAGAAACAGTTGCCATAACATTCTGAGCAGTCCTTTCGGCCCTACATTTAACTACCCATAGCAGATCCCATTAAAAAGCTAGAAATTGCTCTCTGGATCTTATTAGAAAATTCAAGAATCATCTCTATTTTTGATGTTTTACTTAAAATCATCTTCAGTAACACTCGCTTAAAAGACTGACAGAAAAATCAGCTATTTTAGCTAACTGATCTTCACTCAATCTTTTAGGCAACCATTCATCTTGGCTTGCTGAGGCCACCATGTTTTCTTAGAAGATGAATGCTGAACCTGTGAGATCCCAATTTCAGTAGCTATCGCAAAACAGGAATATTACCAATTTCTTCCCTCAGATTCTTCATTCTTCTAGTCCACTGGTCTTCTTTCTCTTGGCTCACCTTTGAGGTATACACTACTTCCCTTACAAAACTTGAGCCATCCAAAAATATGTATTATGTGGGGCAGCCTACCTCTAAACTTGTTGCAAAACTTCAGTGATTTGGGAAGATACTTACTTGACTTTGATTAAAATTTTATAGTCCCCTCCCCCAACAACAGTAAAAAAACTATCCCTTTTTTGAAGGCACCTTAATGAAACTTAGACAATTATATTACTTAGAAACTTTGTTTCAGCTATTGATTGCTTAAAGAGACATGCATATATGAACTGGAACATTAGCATCATTATTTCTTACTAACCCTTCTTATAGGAAGTGTGTCCAGATGGAAGTGAGGGGTGAATGGGATTTTATTAATGTCTGTATGAGTTTTCTGTAAACCTAGTACTGCTCAAAAAAAAAACACCACACAAGTCTGTAAAAAAAAAAAATCACATCAAGCATCAAATATTCATTCAAACTCTTGATTTACAAATGCACTCCAATAACACAGACTACAATGTAAGAATGCACAAAATTATATTTTAGATGGGTCATCATTCATCTATGACAATACTAATTGCAAGAGAATTGCAAGATGGTCCAATACAGAAATAAGGTATAAGCTTTTCTTTAGATGTTACAGTGAATGTATGCAAATGTGATCTATTATTCAAATTGTAAAATGAAAGCTCTCCCAGTTCATAGTCCAGAAAAACACCAATCCATCTGCAGTTTACTGATTCCCAGGTACTAAATTCACTGAACCAGAGCTGAGTTTGACAGCAATCATTGTTTGAGGGTGGTGATGTCATTGCATTTATGGGGAAATATTCTTCACAAACACCTACAGCCCACTCACCTGTCCCTGTTGCTTGTACCTGCCAAAAATGCCTGCCGCTCTTAAAGCCTTCAGTGCTCATGACAGATAGGTGAAGAATATATTCCTTGGGGTGATGATGAGAGCTTGGGTTCCTCATTGTATACATCACAGTTTTTCTGTTTTCTGTGATAGTAAGATCCTCATGGGCACTTTCAGGATCTAGGGTCAAATTTACCTGAAATGTGCTGATCATATTTTGCAGGCCAAAATACTGTGGAGGTAGACTGCAACATTCCCTCTTCAATTCATAGGCAAACACACCTGGGTGTTTTCGGTGTTCATACCTATTGTGGATACTTCTAATTCCTGTCAGTAAATCCAGATCTGGCTGCATACACTTTTCTGTTATTTCAGTTAACAGATTTGTTAGTGTGGAAGTATGATCTGAAATTTGGATTTTGTTTTCAGCAAGTTGTTTTATAATATCCTCTTCTTCATTGAATAGCTTAACGTAATTGGCTTCCTGTTCCTTTCCCAAGTAATTAATACATTGTTCAAATTCTGAGTATAATTTACGCCTCTGATTTTCTACCTTATGCTTCAATTCCATTTGTTTTGAGACAGCCAGATCAAACCCATTTTCAGCATCCCCAAACTGCTTCATCAATGACTCAGTGTAGCTTTTGAGCTTCCTCCTATGACTAGCTGCAGCTTGCTCAATGGGCAGGAGGTGGTGTTCCTGGTGGTTGCAAGATATCCTGCACTGGGGACACAGCAGCTCCAGATCCTTGTCACAGAACATGTCCAGCACTTGGTGGTGCTTCTCACACAGGGATTTCTTTTCCTGCGTTTTCTTCTTGCTCCTTGTTGTAGGAAGTTGCTTAACAATATCAAGCATGCTACATAATTGTGTGTTCCTTTTAAAGAACCTATTGGGACACTGTTGGAGGCAGACAGGACAAGGGAAGGCACCCTGCAGTTCAGCCCAGCACTGGTTGATGCAGGAATGACAGAAGTTGTGGCCACAGTTAGTTGTCACTGGGTCATTCAGGTAATCAAAGCAGATAGGACAGCTGGCCTCTGCTTGGAGGTCAGTCAGGGAACCTGCAAAGGCCATTGTGCACTGAGGATTTCAGTCTGAGGAAAGTATTTTCAATTTGATCTGGTCTTCTGAAAGCTAGGAAAAGTGATAATCTGGTGACTATATTTTCTCTGCTTTCTGAACAGCAGTCTTTTCTCAAGGTTTCCAGAAAGCTATTAACTGCTCAAGCCTGTCTGTACTTCCTTCCCTTCAGCTTTAGCTACAACTGCCAAAAAAGTTGTAGTTCTAGACAATCACTGGCACTTTTCCAATATATAGTCAATGACCCATAGTTAAAGTGTGCCTATGCCACATTCTCCATTTGAAAAAAGCCAGAAATCCAAAAAGGACTTCATATTAATAGCATACTTAGAAAGTCATTGAAGCCTAAGATCAGATATGCAGTACTATTGTTCAGGTTTCTGAAAGAAAAAAAAATATGAAGAAATAGGTCGTTAGTCATTAAAGTACTTCAGAATTTCACATGCCTCCCCCATGTCTACTTTAGGTGAATTACAGCACACATGAGAAACAGCTCACAGCTGGAGCAATGCCACTCCCAGATTTCATCCTCCTGTAAAACAACCTAAAATCTCCAGTTAGTCAGCCAGAAGAGCTCTTCAAAATGAATCTCATAAACCCTTTATATTCTTCAGGAATCACACCAGACAGATCACCCTGATCCATTTAAGTCCCATTGACCACCTTAAATCACTTCAATGCACATATGTACCCTTAACTAATATTCCCACGTCCTGATTTTCTTCCATTATGGTCTGTTCAAAGCTCCGCATTGCTCTTGTCCCCTGACTTCCATCTTACCTGTGAACTGAGGATTGCTGTGTTGTCAAATTTGGTCTCGTCTTGGCTCTGTATGTGGGACGTAATACTTGTATCCTCACAATGCAGGTGGTAATGCAAAACCACCTGCAAGAGACTGAAGTTTCCTCCCTTTGCTGCAGAGCAGATTTGTCTTTGTTGATCTAAGTTAAACATACAACACAGCCCAAGATCTTGATTCAGTATTGTGATTATAATTCAGGGTAGTTTGTCCTTACAACCATGAAGGAAAATTCTTTTTATCAAATTGGATGGATGCCAGATACAATCTGTGTTAAGACAAGCACAGGATCCTGGTGCCATTATCCATCTCCAATTGCATCGTCTGCACCAGAGGCATGGATCATTTGATTCACTGTCCCTTGCAGAATTCAAACAAACCTCTGCTCTCTAATTATAATTCCTACCAACTAGGAATGCAACTTCATGTATTCTTTACATTACCTCAAAGTAAAGAAAACAAAAATCATTCTGACTGGAACAGTAAATATATGATAAATAGAGAAGAGACTGAAGTTGTCAAAGACTTCATTTTTTTTGGACTCACCACCAACACTTACCACTCGTCGTTTAATATGTTTTACTGTCATGGCTGAGTACGGATGTGATTCTGGAAGCTATGCCACCAGTATTTAAAATACCAGCAGAGTCACCATGGTGGACAGGATTCAATGAGTTCAGGCTGAAGCTGAAGAAAATTCAAATAAGTCCATGGAAGCCAAAACATGACCTTGAATATATCCCAACTAAGTTGAGACCATCTCAAGATCAGATTTGATGCATTAGGTACAGTTTTTGTTATTGTTAAGTGCCATCTAGTTAATTCTGATTCATAGTGACACTGCATACAGTTTCTAAAATGGGTTCAATCACCAGCTGTCAAGTTAGGACCCAGTGCTTATTCTACAGTGGGACACAAAGATGGCACATTAGACATGATTAACAGAAAACCAGAAGTGTTTTAGGATAACATCAAGAACATCATCCATGAAGAAAGCAAAATATCATTAAAAAGACAGGAAAGCAAGAAAAGACCAAAATGGATGTCAGAAACCATTCTGAAACTTCTTTAGCACAGAGAAACTGAAATAAAGCAACTGGAAGAAATGAGGTAGTAAAAGAGCTGAACACAAATTTCAAAAAACAAATCAAGAAGATAGAAGAATTATAATGAAATGTGCAAAGACCTGGAGTTAGTAAGGAAGAAAGTATTCATTGTTTCTCAAGATGAAGGAACTGAAGAAAAAAATCAAGCACTGGCTTGCTATATTGAAAAATTCTATGGGCAAAATATTGAATGATGCAGGAAGCATTCAAAGAAGAAGAAAGGAATACAGTCACTGTACCAAAAAGAACTGGTCAATATTCAACTATTTCAAGAAGCAGCATATGAAAAAAAAAAAGAAGCAGCATATGATCAACAACCAGTGCTAATCTCCCAAAATTGATGAAATACAAATTGGAATCTTTCAACAAAGTGATGGAGTTTTGGAGGCACTCTCTCATCTATGCCAAGAAATTTGGGAGACAGCTACCTGGCCAGCCAATTGGAAGAAATCCATGTGCCCATTTCAAAGAATGGTGACCCAACAGAATGTGGAAATCATTGATTAACATCATTAATATCATATGCAAGTACAACTTTACAGAAGAACATTTAAAAATGGTTGTAGCAGTACATCAACAAGGAGCTGCAAGATTCAGAGGAGTTCAAACTGGACACAGAAGAGGACATAGAACTAGGGATATCTTTGTTGATACTATATGAGTTTTGGGTGAAAGAGAATATCAGAAAGATGCTTACTTGTCCTTTGTTGACTATGCAAAGCATTTGACTGTGAGGATCATAACAAACTCTGGATAACATTACAAAGAATGCACACATTTAATCCAGCACATTTAATTTTTCACATGAGGAACCTGTACATAGAACAAGAGCCAGTCGATTGACAGAACAAAGGGATACTTAACAGTTTACAATCAGGAAAGGTGTGCACCTGGGTTGTATTCTTTCACCATTCTTACTCAGTCTTATGCTGTGCAAATAATCTAAAATGGATTATCTGAAGAAAACGATAATATAAGGATTGGAGGAAGACTCATTAACAAATTATAATATGCATATGACAGAAACTTATTTGTTGAGAGGGAAGAGGACTTCAAATGCTTACTAATAAAAATCAAATACAAATATTCTCACAATTGAATAACATTAAGTAATATTATGATAAATGTAGAAAAGACTGAAGTTGTCAAAGACTTCATTTTGCTTTGACCCACAATCAACAGTAATGCAAGCAGCAGTCAAGAAATAAAACAATGTATTCACTATGCAAATCTTCTGAACAAGACCTCTGTAAAGTGTTAAAAAGCACACATGTAAGTTTAAGGACTAAGATATGCCCGACACAAGTTATGGTATTTTCCATCACCACATATGCATATGAAAGTTAGACAAAGAATAAGCAAGACTGCAGGAGAATAAACACATTTTAATTATGGTATTGGAGAATATTGAAAGTAAAATGGACTGTCAGAAGAACAAACAAATCTCTGTTGAAAAAAGTACAGACAATGCTCCTTAGAAGCAAGGATGGCAAGACTTACTCTATCATTCATTGAACATGTTTTCAGTAGGGATCAGTTCCTGAAAAAGGAAATCATGCTTGGTAAATTGGAGAATCAGTGAAAAAGAGGAAGAGTCCTGACAAGCTGGATTGACCTAGTGGCAGCACCAATGGGCACAAACATAACAAGAATTGTGAGGATATGACAGGACTGGACAGTATTTCATTCCGTTGTGAATAGGGTCACCATGAGTTAGTACCAGATTGATGGCAAACAGCTTCAACAAACCTTTGAAAAATCAAAAATGACTGACAAAAGAGGGAGAAATGTTTCTAGTATAAGGCTTTAGAAGGGGCTCACTCAATGTTAACTAATTCATACTTCAGATTTTCCGTTCTCCAAATCCTATAGCCAATAAACTCACACAATGCAGTCTCCACTAAACCTTCACCAAAGCCATCAACTCTTCCTTCTAGATATCTTTATAAACCTCCACCTGCACCCACTTGTGTCTCCTCTCTGCTCTTCACTAAGTGATTTAATAACAAATTCTATTTTAAAGTGTTCCAGAACTGATACCCTCTTGAGGAGCACATTTCCTACCTACAATCCCAGCTTCTGCCAGACCAAACTCTCTGCAGCTCTCTCCTGCCTTCATTGTTTCCAACATATTAATTCCCCCAGGAGTCGGCACTTTCACACAAGCTTCCTTCAACTCTCAACAGGTTTGCCACTTTCTCCAGTCAGTCTTCTCCAGACCTCCTTAACAGTTGGGGTCCCCTAATACCATGACCATCAACAATAAGTATAGTAACATGCACTCCTCCTCTGAACTCTTCTGATTGTTTTGACTTTATTTACATTTTAGAAGTCTTAGGTCCTCACTAAACTGCCAACCTCCATGAAAGTAGGACTCTGCTATACTTTCTTTCATCTCCATGATTGTGTCTTTAAGTATTTCCTCTATCTCAGACTAAACAGCTACTGAATGAATAAAAACTGGACCAGATTCCTGAGTGACTGTGGCAAACTACTTAACCTCACTGAGTTCCCGCACCATGAAAGCAGGATGATTTAATGTGAGTTTTACCACCTTACCTAGAGCAGGAAAGTCACTTAAAAGGATCACTGTGGAGGATTGCTCAGACTGATATCCTCAGTCAGCTGTACAGTAGAAAGTGTAGGCATGGCTTGGGACCTTGGCCCATTAGAATATAGCACTCTTAGGACTTGACCACCTATGATTGGTGGATCCTTCCTTATGGAGGTCTAGGGAGGGGTGTCCTCTGGAAAAGGTATTGTTTAGTTGGTGGAGAAAGGGATGTTTTGATCCTCAGTCTAGTGGGTTTGGCCAAGCACTATGTTAATAGACATGATCTCATCTCTAAGTTTGATCCTTTTAGCATCTTATAATCCCACCTTTACTAATGAGGTAAATCAAGATTTGAAAACTAAGTGAAGCCTATTGTTTACTTCTGGAAGCACAGTTTGTATGGAGTCCTGGTGTGGTGCTACAGGATAAGCACTGGACTACTAACAGTGAGGTTCAAAACTACAAGCTGTTTCTATGAAACCCTTTACAAGGTAGCTATGAGTCTGAGCTGACTCCGCGACACTTGGCAACAACA